GCCGAGGGAGCGGCTCCTGCAGTGAAAGAGGCAGGACGAGGATTACTAAATGACGACCCGTCACCCTCTTTCTCCAGCTTGCTCTCCTGTGACACCCCAACATCTCCTGAAAGAACTGCTCATTTAACCCCTTCTGTCAGTCAGGCCCTCACCTTCCTTCCCTTCGGCTGCTCCACAGCTCCAGGGAAGGGAAGAGAGAGCAGCTGCCTCCTGCAGACGGGGCATGGTCCGCCTGCTCACACCACTCGGGCGCACACCAGCGGTTCCTTGCCCTCGCAGGTGCTGAGAACGCCGTCAGCACTGCAGCCTTCCCCAGCGCGTGAGAGGCTCTTGGGAACTGAAATGCTTCAGTCCACCCAATTTGTTTTGGCTGGCAGAAGAAACTGTGTCTTCTGACTTACAGGTGCTCAGAGAAGATCATATGTCTCAAACTAGAGGTGATGCTTCTCAGAAAGCTTACAAAAAGCTTAAGAAACACTCAATCTTCAGAAATTTTACCCGCTATCTGGGTTCTCCATAGATCACATGAAGACAGACAGGCAAAAAGTGGATGGATAATATAAGGGGTTTAGTCATTTCTCTGAAGCACAGGAAAGGCAGTGTTAAGTCCCGAAGAACTGACAGTGAAATAACTAGAAACAGGTTATTTCAGTTGCTGCTTAGTCTCCAACAATTCCGGCATGCAAATCAGGCAGCTAGAGACATATTATGGACAGGTGGGTACCTAATAGTCAGATTTATATACCCATCAGGCACAACATGCATAATTAAGCTTGCACAAATACATTTCTGAAATTACACACACCTCATTAAAGAGCAAGACTCAAAAGTGCTGATTTTAAATGCTGATCCATACTCTGAATTGCACCACAAATAAATAACATAAGTACATATTAGAAATACATTTATATCAATGTTGTGCTGATGAAAAATGCTTAGTTAAAGCCTTGAGGACCAAGATCCCCTTCTACAATCCTAACCCCTGTGACAGCGCAAATACCTACATATCCTGCCCCACTAATGTCTATCAAATGAGATCCTGGGCCAGTGTCCCAGAGGACGGTAAATCTATCCCCAGTTCTCCATTCTGTCAACATCTCTGCAAGCAGCCCCGACGTTTGGCACTTAGTGCCAACTACCGCCGTGGCGTCTGTGATACGGTCGCTTCTCCAGCGGCAACCAGACCTCTGATTGTTTCACGGAAGCACCAATTGTTCCATTCCCTGGCACTTCCAATCACTCTGACCTGCAACTCCAGATGAGGATCCAGAGGCAAACAGAGAGCAACCAGTCCCAGAGGCGTCTGGGACACCGGACTTAATTAAAAAATAAATCCCACCGCAGCAACAATACCAATTAAACAGCCTAATAAGCACTGGGCAGGCATTTCACATACTGCCATAGTTTGAAGAAAGCTTTTTCAAGGCAATTGCTCAGCCATGAGCCCAGAGGTCTGAGACTCCTCAGAGGTAACCAGATAATAACCAGATAACAGATTACCTTTATATATTATAGCCCCTCTCAATGAGCAATGCCAGTATTCATATATAATTAGATAAAACTAGGACTTATGCTCTAGGATGCTAATGACTTCAGCTTCTGTGTTATGAGGTCTTCTCTAAACAGGGCAGATGCTGTCAGGCACTGTCAGAGAAACGTAATGAAAGGGAAACCACAACATTTCAAGCTACACTCCTCTCTATGTTAAAATAATTCATTGCTCATATGGGAAGTAATCTGAAACGTTACATTTAATTTTCACTGCTTAGGTGTTACCATCCCTTTGGTTTTGACAGCAGAGCCACACTACTCTCCTTCATTTTTCTTTCCAGTCAGCTTTAATAGGAGCTTGGATTCACCTGCAGGGTGTGCAGCCTGTAAGGATGCAGCCATGCTTGCAGTGGAAACATGACACAGGAGATAAAGTCTCATGGAAAAGAATAAAAGTATCTGAAACCCCACAGAGGTACCTGTATGGAGGCGGCCTCCATACAAACACGCTCAGCAAATCACAGGGTTTGACAGTCCCAGGACTGGGGGGAAATGCAAACCTCCAGCTCTCCCTTCCTACGTGCTTCTCTTGCCAAAGATCTGTCAAGCCAGAGCCCACGGTGTTACCTCGACCCCTGCCCATGGCACCTCACAGCATCCTTGCTGTGCAGAGGGGAAACACAGACACCCAGAGGAACTGGCCAGCCACAGATCTCAGGCACAGAAGAGCGAAAAATGAGGTTCACATCAATCTACCTTTAGGCTCCCATGGAGGCTAGATTTTAAGAAGCACCAAGCATTCATGGGTCCTACAGAAGCTACATGATGTTCTAAACCTTTGGAAATCAGGATACTCCTTTTAAAGCCCTGGCTGCGTACGGCACTAGTTTCAATAATCTTTGCCCAGCCCAGCCTGTAAGCACGTGCCTACCTCTGCGTCTCACTGGGTTCAAGGAAAAGGAGTCACATATATTTGTGCCGTACTGACCTGGGGCCTCAGTGCCTAAGAACAAACTCCGGTCCTTATTCTGAGAAGTTGGATATAGGGCTTCAATTTACCAAGTAGTAAATGTGCCTGATTGTAACTACAAGCACAGCCCAAATGAAACCCATGGGACAACTCGTATGTTTAAAATTAGGAGTGTGGTGAATCACTGAATTGCTGATTGTTTATCAACTTTGCTGAACGGTGACCATAAAGGATTTGTCTACAGTCAAAACAAGTTGAAAAATAGCCAGAAATAGAGCCTAGTCTTCTTGACTCTTGCTTTTCGATTTTAACCATAAATAAAATGTATTGTGTTATGCAAAGCAGAGTTGTAATACGTCAGCCTATATTTAAATTGAGTTTTTATAACACTGAACAAACAAAATGGGTAACAACAGCATGTTTTGTCCCATTGAATTCACTCACTTTTTGATTCTGAAATGAGAAGAAATTGCTGTGGTACTGACCGTAGTTTTTCTTCTTTTATCCAATGAAACCTTTTCAAAGACAGAACTGTCTGTGCAGTAAGAGAAAGCTCAGCTTTAAACACACTTCAGTGCTTAATTGCACCTTTCCTATTTCATTAGAAATCAGGTGTTTGTAGTGATCTGCAAACAGGACCTTGACCAAACCTTCAGGTGTGTCCCCGGACATTTTCAAATGCTGAACACACTAGCTGCTCTGCAGTGCATGAACAGCCAGATCTTGCACTAAGCCTCTTACAGCTACACATGTTTTCGACAGTAGCTTTGATAGCAGGAAGCAAGGTAAGAGTGAATAATTATCGGAGGGTTAAATCTTTTGGACCCTGTATATCTGAGCTTCAGGGGCTCCCCAGCACCTTTTTCTGCCAGTGCTTCATAGCGGCAAGGAGCAGGTTTCCTGGTGGTGACCAGCACATACCTATGCAGAAGACGACAGACTCTGCAGTGCTCAACTGCAGCAGGGCCCGCAAAGCGGCTACGCGCCCACTCTGCAGCCTAAGAGCAATGGAAAATTCCTTGCCTCTAACGCTCCTGCAAACATCCCCAAGTGCACAGCACAGCTTTCAGCTCTAAAGCCTCTAACCTGGAACCATATCAGCTCTAATTCTCCTACTCCGCATGCTAAAAGGATCTGTAAAGGGCAGGATTTGTTGTTGCTTCAAGGACTGACACAGCACCGGACATTCAGCTTGGCTCTGCATTGCTGGATGTCTACACTCTAGGTTGTTTTTAGCACAGCATTTCTACTTGTTTAACACTAAAAAAAGTGTTGTCAAGTATCATCAGCTTTGACTCTTCCCAAAGCAGGCTTATTAGTGCTCTCATTGGTAAATTCTAGATATTTTTAGCTGTCTGCTGCTGCACTTTGTTTGCCTTCAATGTAACAGCGATTTCGGCTGTTTGGATATGCCTCAGAGTCAGCGGCTGGCAAAACAGTGCTTAACATTGGAAAGATTTCTCCTACTAAATAAAAATGCATGGCTTGAGGTAACAACAACAGCAACGAGGTCAGATTTTGCACGCCGAAAGAAGTGATTCGGATGGACTCCGCATTTTAAGGAAACATTGGTTTGTCCGTTTTAATAGTTGGCATAACGTGCCTTTGCCCTGCAACAGTATTTTAAAGAAGATGACTACATAGTCACCTGCTCTTCTATAAGCATTTTTTTATGATTTCATTGACACAAGAAATTTTTTTTTTGTGTGCTTAACAAGTGGCCTTCACAATTCACCTCTCAGATATAGCCCAGTGGGAGTCATAATCCCATACTGGAAATATCCCTGTATTTCCATGGAAACAAACTACTGTGCCAAAATATGGGCTTAGTTCTTCAATAAAGAGTTTAGCACAGGGAAGAAATAGTTGCACGGAACTTCACGTTCAAACAGAATTTGGTAGTATCTAGAGAGAATAAAGGAAATACCTTTAAGATATAGTTGCCATTTATAACCTTCACCTTAAGGCATTATTCAGGTATATTAGCATCCAAACAGACCCAGTTTGTTCTTTCTCTCCATATTGTTTCTATTTCTCAACATTGTTCACTTTCCCTTTGGATATGCGATCTTTAAAGCAGGAGGGAAAAAACTGTGTAGCAGTTAGCGCAGAAGGCATCAAGTCAGGAGTTCTCCGCTCTCCTCCTGGCTCAGCCAGATTCATTGCCTGCCCGTATGCTGTTCACTTACGGACACTGATCCTCAAAAGCAAGTTTCATTTGTTAAACAGCGTGCACCTGGGCGTATGCGTAGCGCAAATGCCCATGCTGTTAATAAGCCACATACACAACTTGTTAGGTCGCGTGCTAAAAGAAGGCATTCACAGAGCAATAGCACACACGTGGTCTAAGAGTTAAAGCCTTCTGAATGCCCAGCTTTGGTTCCTCCTACAGAGCAATCTACCACCAACACAGGGGTATTTGTAACTTAAGAGCACTTGTACTG